GCAGCTTTAAGGTTTCCCCATAAAATAACGCGTGATAGATGGTAGCAGCTAGGGAGATGCCAGAGCAAGAGAGAGAGAGAGAGAGAGAGAAAGCTGCCATTAGAGAGGCAGACGAGAATGGGAATACTCGACAGCTCTGCAGTTGCCATTAGCAGACAATGTCGAGCTGTCAGACAATTGAAGGCGCGTCTGTGGGTGGGAAATGGGTGAATTTGGTTGGATTGGATTGGGCCCGATGTGGATTGTGGCAGGCAGTGCCGATGCTTTTGTTTCGTTCATCAAGAGCACATTTTATTGCTTTATGAGTTTAATGAAGTGTTGCCAGCAATCCGCCACCCCCCATTCCCATTCCCATTCCCATTCCTATTCCCAGCCCCATGCCCAACCCCTAACTCAACCCGAGCAGCCCAACGGAGTGGCAACCCTTCGCTTCGCTTTCACTTTTCGCCTTGACAGCCAGTGGCTGCCCAAGGAGCGAGGGCGGTCTTGTGCGGCTGGCTACATATCAAACAATTCTGACAGCATCCAACTGACTGACTGACAATGTGAGTGACTGGCTGACTGACTGACTGGTTGACTGATTGATTGACTGCCTGACTCGCAGTCTGTCTGAGTTTCGTTCTATGTCTCGGTCGCATGTAATGCATAAAGAATGAAGCTTAAATAAAAGTTGGGAGATGAGAAATAGGATTAACTTGTCACACAATTGAATTTAATTTTCCATACACACTCACACACACACACACACACACACACACATCCGCACACACAAAGCATGTTGAAAGCTGCTCGCTTTGCGCCAACTGCCAGACAGCTACTTCAGCTGCCTGTTTTTGGGGCTCCGGATTGTTGTTATTGCCGTTGTTGGTATGGTCTATTACTTTCACATTGGGGAATTGAGCAGTTTCATTTTTATCTATCTCTTGCTCTCTCTCTCACTCTAGCGCCTACCTCTCTCTCACTCTCTCTCTCTCTCGCTGTGCCGCTTTTGTTGTAATCTTGTGCTACGGCTTTGTAATGAAATTACAAGGTCCCCAGATTTGTCAAAGCAATCAATACTTTCATATTGAACTCTTCATTGGGTTTCTGCACTGAAGCTAAGCCTCTGCTCTGCTCTGCGACCCGCCCGCCCCTCTTCGCCACCTTTCCACACCTTTGTTTACCCCTCTGACGCTCCTGTTTTTATTGTCCTGGCAAATTGCTGAAGGCAAGCTTACCTTTTTTGGTACTCAACGAAATGTTTGGCAATCTGATTGATCTCCCTTTCCCGCAGGCTGCGGCAAATATTTTTGTGCCCAAAAATGTGCCACAATCATTTTTAGGTAAACTACTAGTTTAGCAGCTTGACAGTGAGCCCAGCAGTCAGGTAAATGTCTTCCATGTTGAACTGTACAAGCCCATGGAAAATGTTTAAATGGCTATCAGATATAAAAACAATAAGAACGGCTATCTTTGGCACGTCGAAGATTATTTTCAATCGATTCTTCTTATACTATTATTATACTATTATTTAGGAATTTTAATTACCTTCCAATATCAAGACATCAGATTTTCTTATATCGAAAAGTAGATAAGTACATAGTCTCTCTTCTCCAGAAACAACGTCAGTCTGATAGCTGCTGTTAGGCTCTTCCTGGTCCCGATTGCAGGAGTAACTTTGCTTTGAGCAACTAGATAGCCAACTTGCCGCTGGGGTGCTTAATGATTTCACGTCTTTGTTTCTCATGAAAGCTTCTTTAATACATCAGGTTTAAGTATAGGGTCCCGCAGACTATATACAAAAGCAGGATGCGTCATTATTGAAGACCTCCGCTTGATGCTAAAAAGATAATTTAATTTTTGGAGCTGTGCACATTTTTTGAATGTTATATTAAGGACAAATCAATCAAATCAATTAATCGGATCGGTCAGTTAACAGCGGAGTTATTCAAGAACTCATTTCTCATAGAGTGAGATGTGAGGAAAGAAGAAGCTCAACTGCTGCGTTTTTAAATGAGGTGAATCATCCATCAATTAGTTGACTGCAATGCTGCAGGAATCCTCCCAACCCAACCCCTTCCATGCCACGCCTGTCCAGCTGTTGTTGCTATTATTATTGGCAGGACATCGGCTATGCAGCGCACAAGGCGTTCGGCTCTTATCCTTTGATTAGCGACAACAAAGAGCGCCAGACGTTCATTAACTGTCACAGAAATATGGCAAACAATAAAGAGAGAGCGAGCGAGAGGGGGAGTGGGAAGTGGGAAGTGGGAGAATGTGGGCCATATGCTAGCTCTCAGCGTTGGACAAACTGTAGTTAGGTAAAGATCAAGCTTAATTAAATAGTTGGGCATTCGAAGAGCTGCTCCAGCCGAAATCCTTTTCGTGGGGCAACTTTGCGTTACATATCACATAAAAGAGTCTAATCCATTTGCCCGATACTTATGCACGCCTGCACTCGGGGGATTAATAAACTCCAGCCCCAGTCGCCGGCTCAGCATTGTCGCAACCACCGCGCGGCGCAGCGCACCACCAAAATCAATTTCAACTGTCAACTGTCAATCAGGCAACAATTCAATCACGCAACGCTCTGGGACTTTCAGTCTTCGTCTCGGCCACATTTCCGTCTCAAAGTCGCGTTCGGGGGTTGGCGGCAACGCTCTGCGGTTCGGCTTTAAAGCATTATAAATTATGAAGAAACCACTAAAAATGGGCCCATGAAATTGGAACTGACTTTCGAGCCGGTTGTTCATGTCGCAAACATTTGCTCAAGAGATTTTTATGAATTGCTCGCACAATCGCCACGATTCAAGCCGGCAACCCCTTGTATATTTCTGGCCTGCACAGATTTTTTTTTGGTTATGTATACGAGCTCGTATTGCCCATTTACAACTCGGCGCTCCAGCCTAAGCTTAACACGGCAACAAGCTGGTCAACGGCAAGACGGGTAACAGAAAGCAAGCTCTTGGCCAAGGGTGGCAGAGTGGGGCTGAGGTTGGGGTTGGTGTTGGGGCAGGGGCAGGGGGAAGCTGCTGCTGCTGCTGCGAGTCACAGCTAAAATTCGCAGTCAAAACACATGTCACGTATTTTGCTCGTAATTATGGCAAACGTGAGAAATTTCGTTAAGATTTTCTTGGCACATTTTTATACCCTAACTTGGGTTATTTACAACACTTGCCTTCTTTTATATTCTGTGTTTAATATTAAAATTTCCTCGCTCAGGTCCGGAGCTGCAAGTCCAAGCTGGTTTCGAACCAGCTTTCTGCCTTGAAGTTCGGCTCGGTTCGCTGCGGTTTGTTAATTTGATTTTCGAAATTTTAAGCCTCTTTAATTTTTGTGTATAATATCTTCCAACTGACATTCCATTTGGCAAAAAAAACAAAAAAACCAAGAATGTAATTAAATTAAAAACCTTTTTCCACCTATTTTCCACGATTTCTTGTGGAATTTACCAAGGCCAAGATTAGGCGTGGAGCAGCAATCAGTCAATCAGTCAGACAATCAATCAGCATAGAAAGTTTTAAATATGTTTATAATTGGGTATATATGGAGGCCATGCTTTGTCAAGTTGTATTTACTTTTGCACTTGAAAGTGTATTGATTATTCTACCAGCTGTTAGCTTAATTCTTCCACTTACGTTCGTTTGCTTTTTCTAGCTGTTTACTTTTGTGTTCGCCTTTGGTAGGTATAATTTTTGGCATTTGCATTTTGCCCAAAAGCTCAGTCCTGTCCCACTTTTGCAACCCGCATCCCGCAACCCGCCCAGGGCTCAACCCTTCTGGCGACCCTACGAGCTGCTTGTTAACATGTGTATCCACTTGTATACTCTTACAATTGGGAAATGGCTTTTGATAAATGGCAGCCAAGTTGTATTGCGTTTTGTTTCGTTGTGTTGGTTCTGCAAATTGTTGCTCTGTGCAGGGGGCTTAAAAATGTCTTGACCTTTGACCCTTGGCAGGGAAGCGCGGACTGTAGAGTGCCCAAAGCTCGGCTGAAATAGATTTGTTCTCGCAAGTGAAGGGTTTCAATTGAATTTTTATTCTTTTAACAGTTTTCTCGAATTATTGAATCTTAGATAAAAGATCCTACGTTAGCTGCTGTTGCTGAGGTTAACGTCATTTGTTGCATTTAGTTGCTGCAAGTCCTTCATCAACTTTGCTATTAGCCCCTGCACCTGGTTCATAAAACTTTTCACCAGCTCACGACGCGTTGTGCCCGTTGTTGCTGCTCTTTCTGTCGGTTGGGACATGCCGCACGCCGCCAACACTGAAAATTTGCAAAACAACTTAATTTTAATCCAAATTCAACAACATGTTGTCTAACACTTACGGCTGACCACTAAAATAAAAAGCGTCCATTTGTTTAACATTCTTGATGGGTAAAAACATAACTAAGGCATTAACCAAACGGGCCTAGCGCTAAATAGTTCTAGAAGGTAGTTTCCTACGTGCTGAAAAGGGCAATGCAACGCACGTAGAACAGCGATTGGGCTGTGCAGTGTTGCATAACGTTGTGAGTGTTTCGTTTAGTGTGAGCCGTTCAACTAGTTAATCGTTAAGAACCATTTAAATAATCATAAAACCAAAGGCGATTTCTTATTGCAAGATTCAAAATATTTTTCAGAGCTGCTTGGTTCATATTTTTTCAAAAATCTAAAAACTAAGTTCATTCAATGAGCTGGTTCAAAGTTCACTTAGCATTTAATATTGTAAGTAAGTAAGTAATGCCAGCTTCTAGTTCAATTATTTCCTGAGGCTCACTTGTTTGCTCTTAAAAAAAGCGGCTATAAGTTTTTCTGCTTCAATTTCTAAACTTGAATTAATTTTTATTTAGTAGGTGGAAAATAAAACTAACTTTAGGAGCCAATTCAAGAAACGAATAAAACCACAACAATTTGAAAAATTCCCTGGATATTATTTAAAAGTACCTTAACCCAATTCCTACAGTTGGAATTAATAGAAAGTTCCTTGTTTCTCCAATTCCTGTTAAATGGGAACGAAAATAGTAAAAACTCACATCATTTAGGCATGCAAATTTGTTTTAATAGACCACAAAAGGTGTACACATTTGTAAAGATTAAGTTTTAGTTAATATTATAAGTATTTGAATTAGGATTTGATGCGTTCGATCATTTTTGGTGCATTTGTCATTCAGACTCCCAGGCCCTTTCCCAGTGGATTGCCCAGAGAAGAACCCAGGCCGCCACCAGCGAGGCCTCCAGCGAGGCTACCAGCGGTACCGCCGACCGTTTGTCCAAGGGTGCCAAGGGCGGCAGTACCAGCACCAGCAGTATTTCCGAGTATCTGACCTCCAGGTAAGCCTTGCAATTGGGGGCGTGCCAAGGTGGCGGCAAAGAAGCAGGCTGTAAGCGATTAAGGGTTTCGGTCTAGTTAGTTATCCTTGACTAGTTTGGTTCAATTAAGTTCACATACCGCACAGCATGAGGGCCACGAGGAACGTCTTGTTGAACATGTTTGTACGAGTTGTTAGTTTGAACTGTTTGCTGCCCTATCCAACTAGGCGTCTTTTATACGAAAACCTCCGGAATGCTTAGATCGGTGCGTAAGCACGTATTTCATCGTTGACAACGTGCTCGTAGAGCGTGATATTAACCCAGAACTAGCTCAGTGGCTCGCTACTTTTGCCGCTGCGCCTATCTCAAGCCACAACTAATTGACCTGTGTATTTTAATTTCTGATGAGCAGACATATGTTTTATGCTTATAGTATCATATTATTTATGTAGCACCCTGTACGGCTCTTCGCTTGTAATTCTGTAGTTTATTTTTCGTTTTTCACGTTTAATTACATGGGTGCTTCAAGCTATTGCATTTCGCCTTTCGGCACGTTTATTTTGAATAATTAAAATTTTAACAGTCGACACCGAAAAATGCGTGTAAATTGCATTCATGAGTATTCATTGTAGAAAAATGTATATCTCGCAGCCAAGTTGATGTATGGGGTATATTGAAGGTAGACGTTAAAATTAACAATACTCACTTAGCCACCACAACCCTAAATATATTTATAATGGATATCAAGCAATATTCAATATGCAGCTGCTTACAAATGCCAAAGAGATATAATTTTAATACGATTTAAAAAATATTTGCATTAATTAAAATAGGATTGAGATTCAATTTCAGTTTAAAAAAGTTTCACTACGAAGCAAGATTACAGCGAAGTGCCAGATTACAGGGTATATAGTCATCGTATACTGGTGCTTGCATTTTGAAAGGCAATTATTCCATGCTTACGGCATTGCGTGTCAGCATTAAATCCAAGTAACGAATTTAATAGCTGGTGGCTTGTCGCGCTTTAAGAAAAGATTTTCCATTCGTTAGATTAAAGCAATCTTTGTTTTCAAATGCAGCACACTTTTTGGCCATTCTTGCATGCAGAAATTATCGTTGTTCGCATTTCAAATGATCGCAGCAATCGCGCCAGCTGCTGGCCAAGTTTACGTGCCTGTTGGCCAACACCTGACCAACAACTGACCCAGTTGATAGGGCGGCCGCTTGCCAAAAAAAACAACAAAAAAACAACTAATAAAAATGGAACCAAATCGGTAGCAAATGGTCTGCATGGCTTCCGGTGGTCAGCGCATGGGTGTGAGCTCAACACGTGGTTGCTGTCGTTATGTTTCCGGTATCAAAGACGCCGCCGGCAAAGATGACAGCAACAACAATGGCTGCTGATGTGCGTGTGTGAGTGTGTGTGTGCGTGTGTGTGTGTGGCTGATTATTATCTGGCAGACATGATAAGTAAACAGTGAAGCTCACGTACAGGCCACACGTTTCCGTGCGACGTGTGTGTTCGCATCAATATAAAAATGCATCTGATGAGCACTTGGCAAATCAGTTCAATTAACCAAATTTATAGAGCAACAGCAGCAGCAATATCAACATCGGCAGCGGCGACAACATCAGCAAACTTCCAGAGGCTAATTAAGGAACGACTAGGATGACAACAGCAGCAACAACAACAGCAAATCGCACGATGTTGCTGCCAATTTTGACATCACGTCGACATTTAATTGCGCTCGTTGTGGTAACAACATTAGGTAATTAGTGTGCCATGTGACCGGCTGTGGTTTGTGGTCGCGTCTTTTGGGCTTCTAATTGATTTTCCAACTAACTTTTGACAATTTTGTCGGCTGTTGTTGTTGTCAATTGCATTTCAGCCTGCTGCCAAATGTGTGCAGCACAGAACTCCACGTTCGTAGCAACAATTGTCAGCTCGAACAACACGTTGCAGTCGGCAAATGAGACGCGACTCAATGAAACGATAACAATCAATATTAGCGAGATAATTGCTGCTGCTGCTACTGCTGTTGAGACGGCTACAGCAACATCAACGACAACTGAAGCAATATCAACAACTGTGGCAGCAACAATTTCAACGACAACATCAACGACAACAGAAGCAACATCAACAACGATGGCGGCAACAACACCAATAAGCACACCAGCAACATCAACAACTGTGGCAGCAGCAACCTCAACGACAACAGAAGCAACATCAACAACGGTGGCGGCAACAACATCAAGCAGCACACCAGCAACATCAACAACTGTGGCAGCAACAACGGTGGCTGCAACAACATCGAGCACAACACCAGCAACATCAACATCGGTGGAGACAACTACATCAAGCAGCACACCAGCAACATCAACAACGGTGGCAGCAACAACATCAAGCAGCACAACACCAGCAACTAGCACAACAGCAGCAACAGCCACAACAGCTGCAGCAGTCTCAACAAGTAGCACGACATTAGCAGCAACAACACCATTACCAGATTTAAGCAGCTCAACTGCAGCAGTAACATTAACGTCAACATCAACAACAACAACAACGACAACAGCCTCAACAAGCTCCACAGTGCCAACAACAGTGACAGCTACATCGACAACAACCGCAGCAAGCATAACATCAACGCCCACAACAACTGTTGCTGCAAATGTCACAACCCAGTTACCAACAACAACAACAATAGCAGCAACACCAGCGACATCACCATCTACGACAACAACAACAACACCTCTCATAAGCACAGTAGTTGACAGCAGCAGCAGCTCGGTAATCACAACGACAACGGCAGCAACAGTTGTTAATAGCACGACAGCAATAACACCAGCAACAACAACTACCGAAGTGTTTGCAACAACAAGCTTGGAGCCCTTCCCAATGGCACCCTATCCCACAGTTTTTGGTCAGCTGGCAACCATGGACACAATCGGGACGCTGGCCAAGAATAAGAAGGAGCGCCTGGGGCGGAAGGGACGCAAGGGGCGCAAGGGTCGTAGACGCAGACGCACCACAACGACAACAACAACAACGACGACTACAACAACAACAACTCCACGAACAACAACGCCTGGCGACAATAATATCGACGACGAAGATGCCAGCCTATTGGAGGATGTGGATCTGCTCGAGCCGCTGCCAGAGCTGCCCCTGCAATTGGGCAACATCGACAACCAGCGCATTGATCAGTAGTTTTGCAAGCCGCAGCACTCAGTGAGCCCAATAAATTTAGAATTATGAATCGTAGCTATATATATAAATAAATAATTGTTTTAATTTTTTTTTATACAGCTGACATAAAATAACAATAAAATATTCACATATTTTTTCATATCTCTTTTGTGAATTCTTTTGCACTATCAGCAAAAGTTGTTAAATTTGCGAACAGCGAATGAACAAGTCATTGACAAGCTGCGAACAACAGCAACCAAAAAAAAACTACAAGCACCCAGTAAGCGTGGTTGAGTCGGGTGTGCCCGACTAGCAGATACTCTGTACTCATTTCAATCTTCTGCCTGGATGTGTGCATGCCACACGATGACATCCAAACTCAATTTAGTATCTTTACCATTTTTATCTAAGAGTTGTGCTCAAAAAACTTTGCTTCAGAATCGATATTGATCGGTATTGTGGAATTGGAAGGCCCAAAGGCTTCATACAATAATCTTAAGCAACTTAAGCTATATTATTTAGTTGCAGTTCTGACCTGCACCGAAGGTATCACGATGGAATATGATAAGCTATTAGGATTTAGTTAGCCAATCCATCTGGTTCGCGTATTCCGATCATATATATAAAACCAAGTACATTATTTGACAGCATTTTCCTGCAAAAGTGGGAACTATCTTGCAAGATTCAAATAACATTGAGAAAGCTACCTTTTACTTAATTTTCCAACTACTATAATTTATTTGCCAGATAATAAAAGAAAGTTTGTGCAAAGCCTCGCAGACTTTTAACCAGGACAACCTCACAGTGCTTCCCTCTCTGCCTCCTTCTTTTATATACATATATGTATATATGAAAATACCAAAACATCATTATGGAAATTCTTTTTTAGCTACTCAATTAAACAAAGCTCAAAACCATTTTTCTATATTGAAGTTATGTCAATTTCATTCGATCCAAACTCGTTTGAAAATTTTCGTTTTTGACAAGCAAAAATGCTCAATTTGTTCTATTTGTTGTGCACATTCGATATGCAGTGTTTTGTTTAGGTAAAAACAACATGGCTGGCAATAACAAGATCATACACACACCCGCACACACACCCGCACACACACACACACACACACACTGGCAAACAACTGGATGGCGTGCAATTAATTTAACAAATTGTTTGCTCAGCTCAAATAGCCATACAAAACAAGCCAACAACAAATATTTATATATTTACTATATACCAAGCATCACACACACGCACACACACACGCACACACACACGCGCACACACACTGCTGCACACACGTGAGGCTGCCACATGTGGCGCATATATTTGCTTGAAGTTCGAGTTGCAGGCAACAGCTGGCGCACGTTTGCTTCCCCCCCCCCCCCCTCTACGCCCGGCGCACTAAATAAATACAATTTAACTTCCACTTTCAACACATCAACAGCTGCCCCTGCCCCTGCCCCTGCCACTGCCCCTGCCCCAACCCAGCCTGCTCCTATGCCGCACTACGCGCTCCGCTCCTCTAGCCCTGCTGACAAGGGCCAGCAGCCAAGTCAATTAGCGAAGCCGCTGTCCAGTTTGGCAACCCCCCTCCCCTCCCCCACGACCTACCCAATGCCTGCCAACGCATTCAATTAAAATTGCCGTAGAACCGCCCACTCCCCCCTTGCAACCAATTCTCATCCCACGCCCGCTCATATTGTTTCTCTCGCCAAAAATTATTGCAAGAGACACAAAGAATATATTTTGATTCAAGGACTAATCAAAGCTGACAGCCAGACAGGAGGGTGGTTGCCGCACCACAGTGCATTGAACTGTGTGGCAAGCGTAGAAGGAGAGCCGGGTGCGGTTTGGGGGGGGCAGGAGGGGCATTGGGCTTAACTTATCAATAAGCCGAGTGCGCACATGCCAAGAGCCAAGTGTGATTGGACGCTGTCAGCGAAGACAGACAACAAATGCACACGTGCTTATCAGCTGGAGAGCAGCACGTGCTCCGTCAGCTCTGGTCGCGACTCTCCGGTCAAGCAGACGACATTTTGGCTTAAAAGCAACTGGCGGGACAGCGGCAGAGGCACAGAAACCGTTGGCAATTACCACAAGCAACAACATGGCAAGCATATTGAGGCAACAATTGGCGCTGCTGCTGATCGCCGTGATGGGTAAGTGGATATTTCAGTGCTGGTTATACCAGAAGTGCTCATTGACTCTCATTGACAGCCCTGCACATCTCACACGCCTGGCTGCTGAAGCTGCCCAAGCTGGAGGAGCTGACGGAGAAATTGGACGAGAAGGAGCACAAGGAGGCACTGAAGAAGCTGGATTTCCTCAATCTGTTCGCCGCCAAAGAAGAGAAAAAGGAGAACGAGTGGGAGAAGATCAAGCAGTGGTTCGAAGACAAGAAGCTCAAGGAGCTCAACCTGTTCGAAGCGAAAAAAGAAAAGGAACTGGAGAAACTGGAGGATAAGCTGCATAAGAAGAGCAGCAAGAAGAGCAAGAAGCTAAAGTTGAGGACAACCACCGAATGCTACAACCAACACGAGTACACCACGAGGGCCAGCTATGTGCCAGAGTCCGAGGAGCAGTACCAGGCAGAGGAGGAAGAGGAGGAGGTTCTGGTGCAGCTGCCCAAAAAGCAAAAGGGCAAGAAACTCCCCTGCGACTGCCAGCCAAACACTGGCTACGGCCATGTGCCCACAGCATACGATGTGCGCGAGGACTTCGACGAGGGCGTACGCTACTTTACATAGAGCGGGTGGAGTGGGCGGATCTGGGCTGTGCATAGATAGCCTCGCATGTTGCATAATTACATATACTTTCTATTTTTTAATAAATTTTATGAAAATACTTACGTGTGTGTGTGGAGAGGAGAGGAGCATACTATTTGATATTTGTCTTGTCGCCTGCATAGCATTTGCATATAAATTGAATTCCCAGGTTTCGTTGAACCAGCTCGCCTTGCCCCTCCTCCCTTTGGGTAGACAGCCAATATTTTACACATTTTATGTCAGCAAGCGCGCTCGGCGCCCAGCCCTCCATCCACAGTCCGTAGTCCGCAGTCAAGCCTGATCCATCACAGCACAGCGACATCCACATTCTCACCCACAGCCCACATCCATACCCAATCCTGGAGAATCATCTGCATCGGTTCTGTCAGTGCGTCGCTTCATCAAAGTTGTCAGCGGCGGCAATGACACATTGTGCCCATTATTTGCATAAAGTACCCCTGCCCCTGGCCCAGGCCTTTGCCCTGCCTCTAGCCTTGGCCCTGCCCCTGCCCCTTCCCTTGCCCTGTGGCACCAAGCCGTCTTGCAGTGCCGCAAAGTGGTTTATCCTGTCGTAAGGGCAGATAACCAAAAAAAAATACTCGTATCATATGAGCTGCCAAAACGAAATGGGGAATGAGTAGCGAGTCAGGAATGCACTTTTTACTGTCAGGTGGCAGCCCTGAAGCTGTCATCGACTACTCTGTTATCGATAAGTGTACACAATAAGGCGAACCTTGATTGCGATAATATAAAAATATATTGCTTTAAGAGACAACCTATTGAACCTAACAAACAAATAAGGTTTGCTTCAGTTGATGGTTCAGCCACCAATTCGGTTCAAATCTTGACTTCTGGCTATTGAAACTGATTTCTTTTAAGCCGATTGGGATCCGATTCTTGGTATCAATAACTCGATCTCTAGGTTATATAATGGTGTTTACCTTTGATAAGAGAATGTCGTCCATGGCAGTCTCAACTAAAATTTCCTCCATCAGGAAGTTCTGTCGCAAGCCCCTGTAAAGATTAAATGTCCAAAATGTTGAAAATTTTTGTTAAGCTTTTTTTCTAAGACTCATTTCAATGATCTGTAAGAAGAATGGTTTCACCCTTAACTTGGAAATGTAATCAACAGGCAGCTGAGAGCCTATCCGTATCAGACCCAAGACTTGGAATTATACGAAAGTTAAGTTTATTTCCCATTTAAAAACATTATGTAAGTAGACTTTTCTTCAAATCTATTCAGAGCAATGCGACGCCGTGAGCAAAACGTTTAAGAATGTGTAGCACAAAGAATAAATGTAAACTAAATGCGCTCTCACGAGAACGAGGGAGGGTGAGTGAGAGAGTAAGTGCGAAGGAAAGGGCAACGAGGCCTAGGCAGAAATTGGTTTCTCACGTCCCGTTCTGCCAACATATAACTTAAGAAATAATATTAATTTAATGCAAGATATAAAAGTATACTTAAATCTCTGCAATCTATAAAGAGGAATATTTTATAGCTCAGTCTGTGCAATAAGCGTGCCCAATTTAATGGCTCAGCTGGAAAATCAATAAGGTCCATTATGTGTTTTTATGGCCCACAATTAAAGAACAGTTGCACGGCCAGCGGAGGGTGCTGCGGCCTCGAGGCACGCACTTCTATTAGCTTATTTTCTCTCATTGTAACTAGATCAGCTGCAATGGTCCAAAAGCGCCGCAGTTTCTCGATTCGCCCCAAGCGGCTGTTTGCAGTCCCCAACACAATCAGAATTTTTCGCCAAACTATGATTATTTTCCAATTGTGTTGTCTTCTGGGGTGGCATCTTGTGAGCTGTGCGAGGGAGGGGTGCGAGGGGAGGGCTAGTTCGTCATTCCAAGACAACTGCCGCACGAAACTTTGGGCAAACTTTGAAGCCCCCAGACACCGGACAGCGGAAGCCGACAACCAAATGCACAACAGACACAGTCTATGAGTCGAAAAATACTTATATGAACTGGCCACAGCTGCTCGACTCACGGTTATCCTATAAAAGCGGGAAGTGGGACTTTTAATACGTAAAATCTTTAATTCACACATTTGCAGGCTACTTATATGAAATCCTATTTATACGTGTTCGATATAAAGATTCTGTCTTTCCTTGATTTCAGCAAATTTTATTTACAGGAAATTCTTATATAATTACAGCATATTGCAATAAGCCATCGGCTCAATCAAATTTGTCCCCTCCTCTGTACCATTTTTTTACAGGGTATTGGTTGTCTGAGAAGGGCACTTGCCCCACCACAGAAGTTGCTCAAACTCTTGTGCAGCTTTTCGATAGCCCAATTTCTTTCATTGCTTGGCCGTAGTTTTTTTTTCGCCTCCGTTCATAGGGGGGACGCGGGTCAATCTTGT